GGGTGGCCCGGGTTGGTGCGCCTGCCGGCACTTGAGTGGGTGCTGTCGGTGGTGCCGGTGCCGTGCGGGGCATTCCCCACGGAGGTGGGTGGTCCAGGCTGCCAGGCGGGGCTGTGCTCCCCGGTGTTAACAGCAGCTCCTGGTGGGAGACTCTCCAGCTGCAGGAGACCAAATGGATCCCGGGGGACCGAGAGAGCGCGGTGCACTGGAGCGCTCAGGTGATGCGTAAGGGGGCACAGAGTCTCTTCGGGGCGCTGGCGTGAATCCCAGCCATGCTGGTAAACAAAGGAGCCAGCTAGTGCCCGGTGCAAAATCAGCGTGGTCAGGCGCATGGTAGCCCAAGAGCAGGAACTCATCTGAGGCAGAACCTTCACCCATGTGAGGGCCCGGCTCCAATTCTCCCCAGAGAGGAGACTCACAGAAAGGGGGCTGCACTTCACAGGTGCCTAAACGCAGTGACGCGTTTGCGCAGATTGCACGGTGTTCCCCGAAAACTGAGCGCTTAGGGAGCCACCCCGGAGAGAGCCAAATGCCACCCAGCTGATTAGCAGAGCTCCAATAGCATGTGTGTCCATTGGTGGTGCACATCTGCACATGCCTTGGGGGACATAACGTTTATTCTGCACATGAAGAAAAATGAAAAATTAAAGGGATCCCTTCCCTGGCAGCACCCAGCCTGAGTGGCCGGGCTGGTTGGGAAAAGATAGCCAGGTGGCAGGAGTCTTCCCCCTAACCCCAGGAGTGGCCTGCAAGCTCCAGTGCACCAACAGAGGTTGGTGCACAGCCTAGCCCCCACTGTGCACTTGCTGCCAGTGCCAACCAGGGGTGCACCACCAATCAGAACAGCTCAGGTCCCATTGGCAAGGCAGCTTTGTGGCACTGGACTGGCTCCTTCCCTACAGAAACTGCCATCAGCCTCGATTCCTCTTGGCAAAGAGCACCGGGAGTTCAGCTTGATTGGATTGTGCCAAGGGTCTGATTGAAGCAGCTGCCAGAGGCTCCTGCAGCTGAACTTGGACCTCTGCAGTGTTTGCCCTGTGACCTAGAAGCCACAGAACCCAGTGTGGCTCTCGGAGGGTCCCACGATCTGGCTGCGGCAGGCGGCACATAGCACTCTCGTTAGCAGGTGCCTGTAATGATGAGACAGCAACAAGAAGCTGCACTTCCAGCTCCTTTGCCATTTTAGTCTAGTCTCTCCTCTCCCCTCCCTGCTGCTGGCGCTGGAGATCTTTCCAAGGCATTTCTTGAGGGCTTTTGCAGCAGGACAAGCAGACTCCAGCTCAATTTACTAAGTTAATCCTGGTCTGAAGATGTGTTGGACACCTGCAACTCACACCCCCTTCATGGAGGGCAGCACTCCTGCGTTGTGGTGACTACACCCGAACAGCAGCTAGTATATCTGCCTGCAGGTGGATTTGAACCTGGAACTTCGGGAGCTCAGTATGGGAGCCACAAAGCTTGAGCTATAAAGCCAGCTGGTTTGTAGCTAAGGCAGTAGAGCGCCCTCATTCTTAGCTCTTGCTGTAAGTGGTCTAAGTGCCACCACACGGGACAGTGAACCACACCCACTAGGTGTGTGAGTTACACTAGCACAACAGGCCCCAACCTCATCACAACTTGAAAGTGAATCCAGCCTCCCTTATCCCCTAGCTCAGAGCCTTCGTGTAGGAAGAACTCAGAATCTCATGTCTTGACAGCCACTCTCACAGAGAGACACTTAAAGAAATGCTTTAAGGAAAGGCGAGGATTAGACCTGTCACCATCCGTAGCTCTGCTCACCACCCTCACCTCCGCAAGTCCCCGCTGCCACAAGAAAGGTCTGGAGACCTCTTTCTAACCGGGATTTCTCAAGGGCATTGAAGCCCTTGAGTACAAGTTGTAATATAGGGCAGTGTTTCTCGACCAGTGGTACGAGGACCTTAGGGGTACTCAGGAGAAGTCTGGGGGGTACGTCAACACAACTGAAATCTGGAGAAAAGTGAATTTTTGTTTTAAGTTTGGCGCTGCCACAAGAAAGGTCTGGAGACCTCTTTCTAACCGGGATTTCTCAAGGGCATTGAAGCCCTTGAGTACAAGTTGTAATATAGGGCAGTGTTTCTCGACCAGTGGTACGAGGACCTTAGGGGTACTCAGGAGAAGTCTGGGGGGTACGTCAACACAACTGAAATCTGGAGAAAAGTGAATTTTTGTTTTAAGTTTGGCAGCGTTTTATTATTGTTGTACTTTTTACACCCAAAAATTTCATCGCCTGCCCGGCTACAATTAAGTTGTGTAAACAAATGTGTTGCAATGGTAGAAAAAAAATTGTGTGTCTGAAAATTGTAGGTATTGGGGGTACTTTAGATAGATATAGATATAGATATAGATATAGATATAGATATATAAAGGGGTACTATAAAAAATGATTGAGAAACACTGCTTTAGCTCCATAGAGCTAAATGACATTTCATACCAGTTGAGGATCTTCTACAAAGCAGTCAGAGGGCTGACCAGAATGGATCATGTTAAATTCATGTTTTACTTTCGCCCGCCCGGGCAGGGCCGACCAGAGCCCGCCGCCGCCCCAGCACAAGAGCCCCCTTCGGCAGCGGGCAGCCAGCTCAGCCCAGATGACTCCGCCGGGAAGCAACACCGGCACAAGCACTGGCAATTTGGCCCACGGCCCAGCTCCTGCCCCTCGTGCTGACAAGGACCAGGACCCCTGACTTGTGGGGACAGACACCAGGTGCGTGGGTCTGTGCCTGAGCCCCGCCTGGCCCCAGAGAGCCAAGGGGCACCAAGCCCTGGTGTCCTCGGCTGGGGGAGAGGCGGGTGGCTATGGGCAGGGGCCCGGCAGAGAGACATGCCGCCCAGAACTACCACAGGGACCATTTCGGGCCTGCAGACCCCAGCAGGGCCTGGCCAGGGAGCAATCAGCTCCTGTGAGGCAAGCTGGCAGGAAGGAGGACGGGCCCCACGGCTGCATCTGGGTCACAGCACAGACAGTGGGAGGCCGAAGGCAGGGATGTGGCGATCAGCTCCCGTACTGCAGGCTCAGTCGTTCCCCTCCCCCCCCCCAGCCTGAATCAGACGGGCAGGTCGTGGGGTGGGCACCAGGGGGGTTTATTAAAACTATGGGATGGTGCAAAAATAGAGATAAGCTCTTAAAATTCCCGGGCAGGTCTGAGTCCACAGAGCTCACGCCGTTGGAGCTGGCGTTTGCTTTGCTTTCTTCTTCTTCTTCCTTCTGGCTTTGCCCTGCTTCCCCGGAGTCTCTTTGCCAGGACTCCCCTTGGCCTTCTTTGGCCACGGGCTCTCGCCGCCTGCCTTCCCTGCGGCTCCTTTCCTCTTCCTGCTGTTGTGCGCTGCAGCCTCGCCACCCGCGGCACCTGCCTCCTTGCTGCTCTCCGCCCCGCCCTCCGGGGGCTCCGCCGGAGCCTTTTTGCGGTTCTTGCGTTTCTTGCTGGCGGGCAGGAAGCCTTTCTTCTTCCGCTTGAGAGGCTCCGCCCCAGGGGCGTGCTCAGGTTGGGGCTCCGCCTTCTCCCTTTTGGGGCGCCTGCCAACCAAGCACACACAGATCACGGCGTGCGCCAGGCAGGAAGGGGGCCCGCGCTGCAGCCTGCCCGCTCTGGCCAGGGCCGGAAAGAGAGACGCCCGGGAAGCAGAACCTGGCAAGCGAACGGAGCAGGTCAGCTACGGTCAGCGCCCTAGAGACAGTTCCAGGACTCGACCTGTTCCACAGCCGGGAACGCCTAACAGCGGGGCGTGTGCCGGGCCCAGCTCCTCACCGGAGTGTGTCACCCGCTCTCGCACAGCGGCAGGAGCAGGACGACACGTTCTTCGGGATTTATCCTAATCGCTTCGATGGGCTTTGGGTCAAGCCCCTACCCCCCAACTGCACAGAGCCAAGGGGGTCAGGTGCCCTCCACAAGTCCCTCCCCTACGGGTCATCTTACCGCGAGGGAGGGATCGTCATCGAGGCTGGAAGCCGCCCGAGGCTGGGCCCACCTCTCCTACTGCCTGCACAAGAACTCCCCGGGAGTGGCAGAGTTTGATTTGCCTGGGAGCCTGCGAACACGGCAGATGCCCAGGAACACAGACTCTCTTTCTGCCCTGGGGCGGAAGTTAAACCCAGCCCAACGGAACGGCTCGGTTTGAGGGCTCAGAGACACGTTCAGCCCCTGCCCGGAGTCCCAAGGGGCCTGAGAGCCATGCTGAGGGTTGCAGAGACTCACAGGGGTAAGAGCTCACGGAAGGAAAGGGGAGAGGGGAGGCTCAACAGGCTGGGCCCGCGCTAGGCCTGCTCTTCTCCTGCACTGGTCGCTTGTGGCCAGTGACCTTGAGACTCTCACATGAGGCACCTGAAGGGCCTGAGCCCCCCACCCGCTCTGGTGTTTTCAGTTGGGCAGCCGGACACTGGGGCACACAACACCACAAGTCGTTTCTGACGCCACTGACGCTTGCCTGGCCGCAGGAGTGTAGGAAATCCCCATTCGCTGGGCACCTCTGCTCTCCTCATCCAGGCCTGCCCCAGCAGTAGCCCCTCCTGGGCACACGGGGAGGGCAAACCGCCCCTCCCCGGATATTCCACCGCCGCCCCTGGCCTGCAGCCTGGTTCCAGCTCGCAGCTGGCCTGCCCCACCCCGCCACGTGAAGCGTCTGGAGAGCGGACGGAAGGGGCTCGAAGATCAGGGCAGGCTCGCTATCCCTGCCCCCGGGCCGACGAGGCACCGGTACACGCCGCACTTGGCCCAGCGAGGTCCCTCACGATGGCCAATCGCCTCCCAGCGCCGCCCGCTCCGCTCAGGCTGGCATCCAGTCTCCGACACCAGTGGTGCTCAACCTTTTTTAATTCGTGATCCCCAGGGCCGGCAGAATTCGGGCGAGCCCCCTCCCCAAAAAAAAAAAAAAATTCAAGCACCAGTCCACTCCCCTGCCACTCCCCCCACCCCCGCTGTGTGCATGTCAGGCGCTGAGCCAGGAAAACAAAATGGCGGCCAGCCCGGCGCTGTGACTCCCCGGGCCGTGCACCCTTATCCTACATGACCACGGCACCGGCCTGTTTGTTCCCATCTCCCCAGTCTGAGAGGCCAGAGCAGCACAGCAGGATGTCAAATCCCATTTAGTTAGTGAACCGGTTCAACTTTCTGCTTAACCAGGTAACCGAGGCATTGCTGGGCTGAAGCAGCCTGCACCTGCAGCCAACCCTGCTGGGCGAGAGCAGCCCCCTGCCCACACCCCCACCGGTTAAACGTAACCGGAAAGCATCACCCCTCCAGGGCGAGAACCATTCGCAGCCCGAGGGCGCGGAGAGCCCGAGGCACGCGCCGGGGGACGCCGCCGAGCAGAGGGTACGTACGCAAACCCCAGCAGATTCATGACGTTCCAGTAGAGATTGCTGAGGCGGCCGGATTTCCCGAACCCCTCCTGCTGGCTCAGCGCTTGCAGCACCCGGCTCAGCTCCGCCAGCTCCACAGTCAGCTTCTGCAGGAACGGTAGCAAAGGAAGACGGACATACACGGGCCTGCAGCACAACCCAGAGCCCTCCCAGGATGCCCCCGCAGCAACCGCAGGACTGCGTGCAGGAGGAAGGAACAGTTGGGAAGAACTTTTGTAAGAGGCCTTGTTACTCCTGGGGGGCGGGGGAGTCAGCCCAACATAACTTACAAATTCTGCAAATGCTGTTTGTCAAAATAACGCCCTCTGAATCCTGCCAGTGTCACACTGCGGCTCCCCGGCACTATGTCAATGCAGTTTTACCTCTGAGTCCAAACCAGGAGAATCCTGCTCTCTGCTCTGCCCCTTCATATAATATTACCACCCCCCAGATCTCTCCAGGCACAGTGCAAAGCAGGGCAGCGTCATTATTCCCATTATACAGATGGGGAAACTGAGGTGCAGGAAAAAGGGAAGTGACTTGGTCAAGCCGGGCCAGTTCAAAGGGCCTTCTACAAGAGCTAGGCATTCTTGTAATTGTTGTGGACTTCATGGGATTTTTCTATCATCAGATTCATCCACGAACTCATTTTCTAAACCCTACACAGCGATAGAGACAAGAGTCTTCTGTGGGAGCCAGGTGGTTAAAAGCTCACTGCACCCTGTGGAAAATCAAGACGCAGACAGGACTGAAGCTGAAAGCCCCTTACAGAGGGTATGATAGCCTAAATCTGGAAGGGTCTGTACATTCAGCCAAAGTCTGGGCTCACCTGCTGGTTGGCAGTTTTGATGAGGAAGTTCAACAGCTCCAAGCACTTAATGACTTTCTCTTGGTCAACTTTCACCTTGAACTGGTTCACGGCTTTCAAGCTCTGCAAAGGAAGGAACAAAGTGCAGCAAACTGGAAACCGAAGAACGTCCCTCGGGAGAAAGCCGACCACATGCAATTAGCCCGTTTAAAATCTCAGTGAAACTTCCAGGGAGGTGAGCGCCATCACACGGCAGAAGAGCCTAAGAAGGTGCGTGATGGGAACCGCTACGGCTTAGGCTACTACATGAGACCAAACAAAGCAAGGTATGATCTGGCACTGCAGGGAAACAGCAGCATTGAGACCTAACGCTGGATGCTGGCTGAAAGAGGAAAGTTAGTCTCTCTCCCACTAAAAGGAGAAACCCACTGCTGGAAAGTAGCTTCCCATGAGAGACCACCATCCGCCTAGCTCAATGGCAGCAGGAGCTGGGATTTACACATAACGTGCTAATGTGAATTTATTAACACTTCTGCGCAGGGCGTCCCAAGAGGGAGCTTGTCGATCAAGTGTACGTTCCCAAAAAGGAGAGACGAAACGCTCTCTGTGTATTTCTATTACGCATGGACGGTGCTGAGACGCCGGCGCGGTTTGGCTTAAAGAACAGCTGCGGCAGCGGAGACAGGTTAAAAGGAGGCCAGATGTATTTACCAGGGGAGGAAGGGAAAAGAAAGCGAAGGCAGGCACATCAACAATGCAGATGCTGGGTCTTTTGTTGACAGGTATTAGAATCTTGTGTGCAGCTGCCCGGTTAAGATCTGCCCAGAGAGGAGTCATCGGACATGGCTACACCCAGCACCTCCCCGGCTCTGAGCACACCCTGTGTTCTGCCGTGCCGGCTGGGGCCTTCCCGTCAGCAGAACGGTTACTTATTTAGGTTTAAAACACAATATTCCAACGAGTTTTCACTCCTCTCTTGATAGCCCCAGTGCCTCAGGAAACGACAATGAACGCAGTGAAAAAGAAACAAACCAAGCAGCCACTCCCCGGAAGAACCACCACGCTGCAAAAAAAAATAAGATAAATAAATTCCCCTCGAGGGTCATGCAATAGTCTCTGAAGGTGAACAAATCCAGACAGCTGTGGACAGAGCAGCTTTTCTCAAAGCGGGGTCTGCAAGGGAACTCCAAGGGGTCCACGGGCCGCGTCGATCAACTCCTCCCTCCCCTGCCCCAAGTGATTCCTGGGGCCTGCAGCCTGGGGCTAAGGCAGGCTGACCTGTCCTGGTTCCACGCTCCTGCAGACTACTCCAAGCAGCTGGCTGCAGGGGACATGTGTTTCTCTGAGTGCCAGCCGGCGGGGAGGGCTTTGTGTGCTGCCCAGCCAGGAAGCACCTACCCACACACGCAAACTGCCTTTGCACCATCCCCACACCCCAACCCTCTGCCCTAGTCCAGAGTCCCCACCTGCACCCTTCATCCCTAGTCCAAACCCAGAGCCCCAACCCGGATCCCTTCCCCCTCTTCCCGCATGCCAACCCTTTGCCCCAGCCCGGCAAAAGTGACAAAGGGAGCAGGGCCTCGGTGAAGGGGCAGGGAAATGGGTCCCCCGACAATTTGAAATCAAAACGGGGTCCTCGGGTTGTGGACATTTGAGAACCCCTGGGCTAGAGGGAAAAGAGAGACAGAGCAAGAGGAGCAGTTCAGAAGGTGGAGATCATGTAGGCTCAGATTTCCCTCCTGATATTAATATGCAAGTTACCAATAAGGCTCAGTAGCTTTTATTTACATCAATAGTATTTTAAACACTTTTTTAAAAGAGTGTGTGACAGGGCGTTCGTCCTGCACTGGCCCTTTAAGGGCAAACCCCAGCCCGGAGCAGGGCCTGGGAGTTTAGCCCCAGCTGAGGCTGCATTAGTTGATTAGGGCCCAGCTGGGAGCTATATAAGAGCATGGGCGGCTGCTCCCAGGAAGAGCAGTGAGAGCCTGGGTGCTGGGGGAGGAGGAGACTCCCTGGAGCTAGGGCAGGGCTGGGGAGGCAAGGCAAGGCTAGGGGAGCTCTGGCCAAGCAAACCTCCAGACTGCAGGGCCTGATGAACGGCCCGATGAAAAAACAACCACCCCTGGAAGGGGGGCTCAGAGACTGACTTGGGCACTGCCGGAGGGCCGTGTATTGAAGAGGATGCCACGGCCTGGAGGAAAGAGGGGAACCACCACCTGAGGGAAGGTACCCCGCCAGCCAAAGGAGCTAATTGCAGGGGGTGCTGCGGTGGTGAGTGAACCCCCTCACAGAGAGGTAGTAGAATTCCAACTGATGGCACCTTATGGTATTGTCTAAACTTAAATTACGATCTCTTCATCGCATTTACATGAACTATAAACCCAATATTAAACAATACAGGTTGGCCGCCAAGTTTCAGAGGAAGTCAAACCACTGAGCTACAAGAAAGCACTAGCTAAGCACCGCGAACCAGAGTGTGCTGAAGTGCTAAACCACCTTTTGACAGGGTTTTCCTGTCAGAGAATATTTTCTCCATTTCAGTTAATGTAACTAGTTCAATTCAATGACTAGTTCATTCAAAGCTAAGAAGCCAACGGTGAGTTCAACAAGCAGGAAAGCTTGTTTTCCTTTTCTGATATATGAATAAAATAGAGGTCTGAGAGGATGAGATTTACTAGTTCTAAAATCCCAAAGGACACAGTGGCCCAAAACAATCAATTCAATTTACAAATTACAGGTATTTTCTTTGTTTAATAAATCAGTTTGAAATGCAAAACAAGTTTGAGACACTTTTATAAAACTTCTTTTCCTAACATATCCAGGACATTCAAAGTAGTTTTAGTTAAATGAAATAATTTGAAAATGTGTGCATTTTGAATTGAATTTCAATGCAATTAAAGCTAGTGTAAAAAAAAAAACACCTACAAATGAAAAAAATCTAGTTAAAAAAATACATCACCCATTTCTAATAAAAAAACTGAAAATTAAGAATCTGAATAAATGTAAGTTAAGCAACACAACGGCTTAAATGAATGTGCATTTAGACATGGTATATCCTCCTAATTAACAGAAAGCTGCACCAATTTTAGTGCCAAGGATATATTTGCATGCAAATCTACATGTATAAATGGTTACTAACCAGTGGCAATCAAACATTCTTTGTTAAAATAACTAAAAAATACAAGATTAAAATCAATTATTTAAATCAAGGTTTCCTGTTTGCTGGTTTAAAACAGGAGTAAAATCAATTATTTAAATCCACTTCGATTTAAATCAGTCTATGTTGAAATAAAGTCGAATGCCGGCAAGGGGATGAGGATGACTGTATTCTGTGTATGGGGGGTACGGGAGATAGTTTGTCTAGAAGAAGTCAGGAAGGCAAGAAGCTCAAAGTGCAAAAAGGCACCATTGCAGAAAGTCTCTCAAAGTGACTATGTACCAAGTAAGATCACATGTGGGGTCTTGGAACACAATCAGTCTATGTTGAAATAAAGTCGAATGCCGGCAAGGGGATGAGGATGACTGTATTCTGTGTATGGGGGGTACGGGAGATAGTTTGTCTAGAAGAAGTCAGGAAGGCAAGAAGCTCAAAGTGCAAAAAGGCACCATTGCAGAAAGTCTCTCAAAGTGACTATGTACCAAGTAAGATCACATGTGGGGTCTTGGAACACACCCACCCACCCACCCACCCCCGGGTTATGAAATCACAACTACAGAGCAGTTCAGTTTTTCCAGAAATGCTTCTCCTTTTCTTTTGCAGTTCAAGATCCCGTGGATGCTGAGCTGTCAAGTCTCTTGTATCAGCCAGTTCAGTTTTGAATAGCAAAGAGATATATAAAGGTTGTGGCTTCAGAAAAATTCATGAACGGTTTAGGGAAAAGGCTACACTTGCAGAATAAGCTTCCCATAGGAATTGTTCACCTACTTCTAGCAGGACTTTGCTCACTGCAAATGTAAAACAGAAGTAAGAGGGCAAAGAAATCTGTATATTTATAAATGTTAGAGAGAGGGGATGCTCTGGTGGTCAGGAGACCCAGTTCTGCCACATACTCTCTGCATGGCCTTGGGCAAGTCACTTAGCCTCTCTGTCTCAGTTCCTCACCTGTAAAATGGGGCAAATGGTGCTGCCCTGCCTCACAGGGTGCTTTGTGGATAAATACATTAAAGAGTGAGAGCAGTGCTGATACTATGGCAGTAAGTGCCTAGGACAGACCTTAGAGCACCCACACAGATGTGTGTCATACACAACATAGGTCTCATACACAACTTAGGTCTCATTCTGATCCAGCAGTCACACCAACCCGACTCCACCAGCTTCAGAGAAGTTACTCCTGGTTTACACCAGAGTAAATTAAATCAGAAATCAAACCCTTTATATAGACACCAGATTTTGGGAAGTATAAAGAATTCTAATGCATGAGGGAAGCTCCTTTGTTGACTGGGGATTACAACAGCAGAGTAAAATGACAGCAAACCAGCCTGATTGCATAGCTTTGCAGGAAAATAAAGCCGAAACATATGATTATGTAATGACTGGAGTAGCAGGTATCTCGTTATCTTTAAGGGATCCCACACCTTCGAATTAAACCTACTGAAAAAATACAATCATTTAATGATCAGTTCCTCAAAAGTCTCCATATCTATCAAGCAGGGCCATCAACTGAACACCCCCAGCTTCTGCAGGCTAGAATTTACATCACCACTCTGCTAGACTGTCAGTAAGTTGCTAATTACTCCCTCTTGGAGGGTATAAGCTATGCTTCTCTATGCCAGAACTAGCATTAACCTCCAAGGCTGCACACAACTCTATGGCTCTGAAGTCTCTCAGGGTAAAGGAAAAACAACTATTAGCTGTATGATTAAAAATACTGACATGCATGAAATTAATCCACAGACTATGAGACTATGCACTTGCCACTTACTCTCTCCCCTCCCCCACATACACACACACACACAAATCAGCAAGTTAGTTATGTATTTAAACAAAGCAGAGTTAGATCCTTGTTCGTATTACATAGGATGCAACCCGGCTCACATTATTCTTTGTAGTACAGTAGCTGAGATCAGTAGAGAGGACAGCCCCCTTACGCAAGGTGCTGTACAAATACACAGTGAAACACACTTCTGCCTTAAGAGTTTACCATCTACACAGGAGAGACAAAGAGTGAGATGGGGAAATGGAAAACAAAACTATTTCACACTTTGAAAATTAACAACGCTTTTGATTATTAAAACAAAGACTCCTAAACCCCCATTTACTTTCCACCAGCTGTGCTGTTCGTTTCATTGTCTGAACTAAGAGAAATGGAAGACATGGTAGACAGAGACTTAATAGTTTCTGTTCAGTCTGAGGTCTTGATTCCCAAGCACTTACTCACACTCAACACCACGGCACAATAAAGGTGTGATTCAGAGCCCTCTGAAATCAAAAGAAATTAAAGATCAGAGCAAAGGAGCAAGACCAGTCCCTGTACCTATTACTTCACTTCCAAACGAACTGACCATCTGCAGCTCTCACTGAAATCAAGATGTTTTGGCTTGGCACCTCTGAAATCAGGTCTTTGGTGCCAATTTATTTTTATTTTTTTAAGGATTGATGGATTTCACTCTAACTGGGCTGCTGCAGTAAAACATTTAGGGTACATCTAGACTACAGGCTATGTTGACAGATACTGTCGACAAAGCCTCTGTCGAAATTTAGCGTCTAGACTACAACCAGATCTGTCAACAAAGCAAGCCGCTTTTTCGACAGAGTCTAGATGCTCTCTTTTGAAAAAGCACAGTGTGGGTGCAATAGCATCTTTTTTCGACATAACTCTGTCGAAAAAAGGCGTTATTCCTCAGAGAATGAGGTTTACCACCGTCGACAAAACTGCCGCGTTCTGTCGACAGAGCTCAGCGTTAGTGTAGACGCAGGTATAGTTTTGTCGACAAAAGTCCACTTTTGTCGACAAAACCCTATAGTCTAGACACACCCCCAGCCTGGGTGTTAGCCCCCATGGACTTAAGTGCTTTCCTAAATCAGAGCCCAAGTTACATTGGAAAAAGCCCTGTTTTGTGCTAGTGCATGTCTACACTGATGTACATGATTTGCGTGTGAGAGGGCATATAGAGCTAGTTACATCAAGTGCAAAATTTTGAGAAGACTCCAGCATACGGCTGGTGCTATGTAAACAGCCACCCAGCCAAAACTCTTGCCTGCAAGCTGCTATTGGCGATACACTCAATCAGACAAATGATTGCCAATCATCCAGCACAGAAGCAGCCAACAGCAATTCTTGCGGCTTGAGCGAGACTTAATAAAGCAGAAGCTAGACAGAAGGATTTTAATGAAATCGGTCCAGACCCGGTTTCCCCTCACAGGTTTCTCTGTTCCTGCTCACGTTCATTTCTGACAAGGGCAATGAAGATATTTCCAAGCGCGAAAGCATCTCATTACAAGGAGGTGAGCAACTTGTCTCTGCAGAGGGAGACACAAGCACCAGGGAGGACTGCTCCGTGTTTATGACGGAGAAGGTGAATCAATGCAATGTGCCTTGTGTTGGAAATGGAAGGTGCTGACTTTTGACAGTCCTCAACCCCCGGAGGTGTTTGTTCCCCAGCTGTGGGTCAGCCCAGGCATTTTAATGAAATGGCCTCTCATTTCCACTGGCAGCTTTGAAAAATATCAGCCCAAGTATTCTAGCTCCCTGCTGCGTAAATTACAGGCCTGCACACCCCAGGAATTTGGTTTTGTTCACGCCCTGGGAAAGTCTATGAAAGAGCCACTTGCACAACCTGAATCAGGCTCATTCCTGGTAATGCAACGTGCAGGTAAGACGCAGTCACAGGCCGCAAGCGGCTCAAAACCTGGCCTCGAAAAAACAGAACCAAACACAAACCCAGGAACCGACCCTCCTGCACAGCTGGATCTCGGTACGTGGCTCCACTGAAGTCAGCGGGGGACCGCCTTGCACACAGTGTGTGCAGAACCAGCGCCCTGGCCGTACAAAATGCATAAGGCCTTGAGCTGCTCCCTGCTCCAGCCAAGAGCTTTAACTTACATTAGGAGTTTAAAACCCCAAAACAAAAAAATAGCCGAGCTGATCCAAAGGCCAAGGTGGCGCTCTGGCAAAGACAATTACATGGCCCGGCCCCAGTAGCATCTGAGCATCTGGCATCTTTAATCACGGCACCTCTGTGAGGCGCTGCAGTGCAGCGCTGGGGATCCGAGACACAGAGCACGTCTACACTGCAATCCAAATCCCCACCGCACCCGGATCAACCGACTTGAACTCAAAATAACGGAGCAGATGTGTGGGCTCTGGCTGGAGCCTGGCTCCGAGATTTCACCCCAACCCTTGCCCCTGCAGGGTCTAGACTACACACTGTGATTTGCAGGCCCGACTCCCAAACGGCGCAAGCCCATGTCAGTTGACCCAGGCCAGCCATGGCTGTGCCATAGGTATCTTACTGCAGTGGAGACGTACCCACTGGAAGTCAGTCCGAGCCCAAGACTGCACAGGAATGTTGCATTTTTTAATCAAGTGCCCGTCCTGGAACTGGGAAAACAAAACTGCTGCACCATTGACTAGTCTGCCCTCAGTTCCACCCTCACGGAGGGCCCTCCCATGGACAGCTCTGTGCACGTGAGGCCATGTGCTCAGGCTGTATGGAGGTGCAGTGACTGGGCTAACACAAAGGAGATGTCCTTGCAGCACCCAGAGGCAGTAAGCACACCCAGGACACATGGCTGGTGCAAGATCATACCCTCTTGGATGCATCTGCTGGCCTACCGCCAGTGGGGGGAGGGCAAACACGATGCCCCCGTGGGGGTGCTAACGTATGTTTTGTGTGCATGTAAACAGCATGGGAACAAATGAGGTCAAGGAAGCTTATATAAACATAAGAGGCAGAGCCTGGCAGCAGCCTCGGCTGCTATTTCAAGCAGCTGTCTCATCATTTTAGGGTTCCAAACAACTGATTCTCCCTCTTTTGCCTTCTGGGTTTGCACGGGGACACGAAGATACTGCAATACTATCCCAGATGCATTGCTCTTGCCAGGCTCCCTCTCTGCGCTGCAATCCATGGCCATTGCAAAGCAGATCTCCAGCGTGTAACGGGACCACCGAGGCAAGGCAAGATGGGAAGCTAAACAGAAGATGTTTTTCTACTCGTCTCCTGCTGCAGCCCACTTCAATCCAGGAGATCACAGGCATCGCTGCTGTCAACTTGAAGGACGGCTGCTAGGGCAGAACCGAACCCTCCTGGCCACAGCTGACAGGCACGACGTGCTGTTGTTTAAGCAACCGGCACACGCATTAGCCTCTGAAAGGGTCCAGGTTATTTCAGATCCTGCACTCAACACCGTCACCTCCTTGGATGCAGCAGATGCATACAAAGATGATTCAGGGCAGGATTGGAGAACACAGAGCCTTTTGTAGCTAATTCCGGCCTCCTGCCGGTAGCGAGCGAGTTCTGGTACCACCTCCTGGCTGCTGGGAGGGAATAGTGTTGCTGGTCTCAGTCCTGGGACACAGCTCAGAAGCTGGACCCAGCTGGCACTGAAGGGGCCCCTTGCTGTCCCTGTTTGCAGAGGGAACGTGAGCTGAGCAGACCACAGCGCCTGCCTCCTGCCCAGGGGCGGATGAGAGTACCGCAGGGCCCCGGGTAGCGAAATTTCGCGGGGGCCCCCCCTCTGACATGGCACATGTGCCGTGGTGCCACGGCGCATGCGCGGGGCCTCGGAAAGTGCGGGGCCCGGGGCAGCCGCCCCACTCGCCCTGCCCTAAATCCGCCGCTGCTCCCGCCACTTCCTATACAGTAATTCCTCGCTTAACACGTGCCTGCTTAACACGTTTTCACAATAGCACGATTTTGGGAGGGTGGGGGGGACATTTTTCAAACAACACAACTCCCTTTGGATTCCTTGAAAATCTCCATCTACGCGAACCACTGTGTGGCCATGTTTGTTCACACACCAACATCTGCCCAAATGGAAAGGGGTGAAGATTCATGCCGCTCGGCAACAGTTTATGTCGCCGCCTTCTTTTTTTTAAAGCATAAGGACCTTGCGCAAAGGGGAGGGTGAGGTTGTGCAGTGCTGCTGAGTGTTCTTGAATAAGTTGTGATTCTGGGGAACCCCACACCCAGCCCGGGGAGAGGCATAAGGATCTTCATTTGCATTGCCTCTTCCGGCAGAGCCCATAGTACAGACGTAGCCTATTTGTTCACTGAGCTCACCTCTTGTACCGTTGCAGGACACTCACTCTCCTAAGGCACCCGAAGCAGCATGGACTCAGTATCCTTTCTCTCTAGCTCTGCTGCAGTCTTTGCATCACTATTTTTAGAGCAAGCCATTTTAGGTTCTCTTGATGAATATCCATCTGCCATTAGCAGCAAGTAATCCGGAGCTATGCCAGGGGACGAGGAGCCTGGACTCCTGGGTTCCAAATTTTGGCTTCACTTACGACTTATAGCAAACCATGTCAATGAAAGGTAGACACAGAATGTCATTAGGTATTGAATCTAAAATGCCTAAAATGGTCTGATCCTGACAAGATTATTCCTCAGGCCTATGAGGGAGGCAGGATAAAGGACCTGCTGAAGGTAGGGAGGTGGAATGGGATCTCCAGTGAACTCGGGGACAGAGCATCAGTCTCTGGAGCAACAGGGTGGTGAGCTGGATCCCACCCCTCTCCGCCCACTCAGGCAGCAGCTGGGCAGCCACCACCAGCTGCCCCAGCGCTGGACCTGGCTCCCGCATTAGGAAATCTCCCGCTTGGACCCACAACCTCCTGTATCAGACCTACAGCCAAGCCTCCTGGACTTGTTATATATGGGACAAGATGGCCACGTCCAATACCCGATGGAGGCCATGTGGCACAAACATGAGGAAAGACATTTGGCAGGTACTCGGGGTCCAGGTTCAGATCAAATGTAAGTGCCCTTCAGTCCAGTCAATGGAGCCAAAGCAAGTACACCACGTCTGAATAGGACACAGGTGCAGACAAGGCATCCGGTAGGCACTACTCAACATTAATCAGCTGGTTCCCATTACCTCCGTGATCTGACTGGTGCTCTCTTTGATCAGCTCTCCCCACTCCTCCTCTGTCATGGAGAGCTTCAGATCCCGCGTCTGCAGGGCCTTCTGGAGAAGCACACACGCCTGCGCCTGGGAACAAAGGAAGAGAGGGACACATGACATGCCATTCGCATTAGCCACCTCGCTACAGACCAGCCTCAGAGGGGGACGGGGACGGTCCTCGACAGTCGTCACAGAACATTTGTTCTCCTTTTCATGGTCGTTCCCGACACACGGCACTCGGGTAACAGATTGGAATTATTCAGTAGAAGGGATTAGGGATGTCAACATGTAGTCGACTACACGATTAACCAATGATCCTGGGCTTATCTGTTACTCCTATCGACTACATGCAATCCCCCCCCCTTGCTGCCTCTGTATCAGAGGCAGCAAGAGGGAGGGAGGCGAGAGCTGGTGTCCACGGGGAGCCGCTCTCCAATCTGCCTCTATCAGGGAGAGAGAAGGGGCAGGGGAAGCTGCTCCGGGGGATGCCAGCACAGCCTCTGTCCACAGGGAGCCTGGCCCCCCCCCCCCCACCCCCTCCACGGACAGGGGCTGCTGTATCGGAGACAGCAGCACAGGGCAGCAGGCGGGAGCTGGTCAGCATGGAGAGCCGGTTACTCGTCCCAGTTAAGCACAACACCCCCTTCCCCCATACACACATGCTCTGCATTTAACACTCAGACCAGCAGGCTGGCTTAGTCCCAGCTCTGCTGTCCGAGTTTTCACCACCCCGGGCTGCTGCCTCTGATATAGCCAGTGCACTCCCAGCCCCGCCCCCATGCACGATCGCATAATCGTGTAACCGATAATATTTGATGTGGTTTCCCGATTATTCGCTCACACGGTATGTAACAGCCCTAGAACGGACGCATTTAAAATGGGAGTCAAGCGGTGGGAGAAATCATCCTGGTTTCAGAATCAGCGCTTTATGGCAGAAATGCGCCCAAGGGCAATGTAGAGACTCTTCATAAAGCAGCAAGCAACCTTTTCAGTTCCTTTGCCTTGCAGAGTTACTAGCTCTGTTGATAAACACGTAACGGAGGAAACCATCAGCGCTGGCAGCCTAGCACACACTCTGTTTCTAAAGGAAGCCCCAGATGGAAATTGCAGCTCAAAACAGCTCTCGGAGCCCTGGAGTACAAGTCACTCATTAAACCTCCATGTCAACAGGGCCATGCAGAGGAAGAGTATCCAACAGAGGAGCAATAGGAACCTGCAGCCTTCTCACGTGTCCTTTTCTAGTCCAGAGATCCTCTTTTAAGTCCTCATGGTAAGCACAGGCAAGGCACAAAGCAAACAAAGGAAACTCACCAGGGCAGTACGCCAACAATTACTGTAAATACGCTGGAGGATTTAAAGTGGACACTTCCCCTGACAATAAAATGTCAGAAAGAAAAAGAGCGAGTGAATTGTACCCACAGGCAGAAACACCACGCTGCTGTCTGCAGATACCATCGCAAAGGGCTCGCTGCAGCCTCTGTGCGCGATGGACTAGCCAAACCCCATAGGAGCACAGAAGGGGCTAATGAGCAGCTTTGGATTGGAGTGGCCCAGCCCCTCCCCAGCCCCCAGCACTAGCCCATCAGGCCAGGACTGGAGTTAGAAAGCGGGAACGCCGCTCCGGCGGGAGGGCTGGCGAAGGGACTGTACAAGAATGGAGACTTGTACTGGAGCAGAATGGACATAAATTAAAGGGAACCCCGGACAGTTTGCAAGGGATGCTGAGATACTTCAGAGAGGCCAGATATTCAGAGGGCAGGTTCTTGGCTCTTCACTGGGGGGGGGGAGGGGGGAACCACACATCCCTTGCAGATATCAAGTCAGGTCTCCAGAATGGCACCCCCTGTTACTAGTCACCTCTGATACTTCTGGAAGACAGTATTGTTCCTTGCTAGGGCCCTCACCATTTCGCAATCATAAAATACACGAGCAAGATGGCATCCTTGGATCCATCAATAGCCCTGGGATACTGCTCGAGCAGTGTAAAGCAACTATTCGCTTGCCTTGCAACCTCACACAGCCAAGATGGGTTGCTTGGGAGAATGTTATTGAAACTGCAAGATGATGGCTTGATAATCTCAACTTGGTCCTTCAAGTGAGTTATGGTCTTTCATTTACTCCATGGGTCACCTACTCTCTTTATAACCGCACAAAAGGCAGCCCCCCCCTCTCCCGGCGCACGCACTCAGACAATGCCATAATTGGTCTCACAAGCCAGAGCTGACTCTTAATCACAAGATGTATGTGAGCATCCTGTCTGGAAGAAGGTGGTGGGAATCTATAGCTCTGGTTAAATCAGCATAAATCTAGTGACCTCTTCTGCAATTTTCTTTTAAATAACCCAGCAAACAGAGCTACTGTTCATAAGCAAAACACCTGGATCCATGGCATGTGCATCTCCTCCTCCTTTCACAGTCGCTATTTTCCTGGAGGGGACTCACTCCTGCAGGTGTACAACTTTACAAATCCCACCTTGGCTGCAGGGAGGAGAGGTTTCAGCATAAATCTAGTGACCTCTTCTGCAATTTTCTTTTAAATAACCCAGCAAACAGAGCTACTGTTCATAAGCAAAACACCTGGATCCATGGCATGTGCATCTCCTCCTCCTTTCACAGTCGCTATTTTCCTGGAGGGGACTCACTCCTGCAGGTGTACAACTTTACAAATCCCACCTTGGCTGCAGGGAGGAGAGGTTGGCAGGGATGCAGCACATTGCAGTGGAACTTGGCCCAGGGAGGTCGAGCTGTAACAGCTGCAAGTTTCATAGCACGGCAGCGTCACAGCCCCCTCACACACGTTGATCTTTTAGGTTGCTCATGCAAGTGCTTGTTTTCTTCTCCTCAGAGCATCTTAGCCCAAAGGCTTCAGTTTGGCACTGGGACTAGTTCTCCACCGGCACAAGGGGCATGGTGAGTTGAGGTTTGGGGGTGACCTATTGCAACGAGGATTGTCGTCACAGGTACCTTTAATCTCCACATCCTTCCCTATTCTCCATCCAAACTCCTGCTCTGGGCAGACTGGGTACTGAATGAACGTACGAACCACGGCTATCCAGAAATTATTCCTTGTAACATTAATGCGTCACACTCTTTGGGAAAAGGCAAGAAATTTGATAATCCTGATTTAAATCATGGATTTTAAAAGTAGCCCTTTTTCCATGAAAGAATTTCACTATCCGATTACAGAAAGAGTCTGCAGAACTGGAATTCAGCTACAGATTTGGCACCGTTTGGACATTAACAAAACAGTAACTGGTCGGCACATTACAAAGCCAATATCTCCTGCCTTTAACATCTGCATTTCCATATCAAAAGCTATGCAAGGGATGCATTCAGTCCACTGAATTAGCCTCATTAACGTGGGTCCTTGACAGGTACTTCTGCTGTTTATACAATATAAAGTCTTAGTTTCTGTTATTTCCACTACAATTCATCTGATGAAATGGATTTTTATCAATGAACACTCATGATTCTATTCATTTTGATTAGTCTCTAAGGTGCCACAGGACTACTCGTTGGTTTCAAAGTTACAGACTAACAAGGCTACCCTGCTGAGATTTTTTAATCCTGAAGGGAGTAAGTGAAAGAAAGGAAACAGATCAGCTGCAGCAGGTCCCAAATTATAGCATGAGACAGGCCAACAAACAATTAACCAGCAGCAAACTTCAGCACTCTCTTGTTTAGAAAGAAGTACAAATACCAGTCCTTGTTCATATCATTTGTTTGTACGAAAAAACCTGAGCTTTGATTCTATAGCGCTACTAGCAGACTTATCCAGCATTGCCCAGGTCCTTTGGGGCAGAGGGTTAGTAGTGAGGAGGGGTGCAAGACTCAGGGGAGGGCCTTGGGGGATGTGTTTATGGGGGGGCTGTATGCAGGAGTCTGGGGGGGCGGTGTGGGTGTGAGAGAGTCGGTGGTGAGAAGGGGCTTAGGGAGGGAGTCCCATCCAATAGAGACCTTTTCTTCCCCCCCTCCCACCCAGCCTCTTGGCCACCAGGGGCCTTTTCTCCCGCACCTACCCCCAGCACTGAAGCCAAGCGGGGGCGGGGGAAGGGGGGAGGAGGAGGTTTGGCCACTTACCCGATATGATGGCTGGCAAAATGGTGCCAGCCCATCCCTGCTGGCCACTCCCCTGGCGGTACGGTTATCCCCAGTGGACACTGCAAGATAGCTCTCCCCTGTGGGCTCACTGTCCCCAGGCACCACTCATATCGTGTCCCTCCGAACAGCAGCTACTTTCCATTTGCATGTTATGGAAAACAGCCCTTTTCCTGGGGCTGCCGGTTGTCCTGGCACCACCAAACCCTGACCGTGCTTTAAGTTAGAAGGGGAAGCTGCCTATCAAATTTGGTGGCCCTAGCTCTTACCGTTTAGGAGTTCTTGACCAAACGGACTCGCATACAGACAGACGCGCCCTCAAATATATATACAGACCAAAGGGACAATGGGGGGCATTGGAAATTTGCTGGCGTGCGGACTTGAAATTTGGGGTGGGGACTGACAGCCCTTAGCAACAGGTGATAGGCCTAAACCAAGGTGAGAAATGCCCAGCTACAGGCCTGAAGGATGTCGAAAGCTGCCTGCAGACACGCAGCTCTTGGCAGCCCACTAAAGTTCAGAGAATTTTAACAACTAGGAAGCAATAATCTGCTGTTTATGTAGGCTGCTCCTTTTTATTTATACAGTAGCATGTGAAGGGGGTGAGGAAACTCTGCTGGGAAGAAAAATAAAGCTGACTGACGTGTAGTTATAATTCAAATAATCACCCAGAAGCCATTTCCTTTCAGGGGCACTGAAAAACAACGTGCTCTTTTCTCTTTATAGTTAATATTTCCTTAATGGACAGAGCTTGGCTGCCAGGAGATACACGGAGGGCAGGAATACAACGCACAAGGGACTCAAGCAGTTCAGATGTGTCAGAATTTAGTGAGGGAAACTAGGTAGAAAACACCAGCCTAATGCAAACATGACTAGTGAGTCAGGTTGCCAATCACAAGCAGGACTGATTTTCTGAGAACGGGCCCTCAGCACTTCCTGAGAACCCAGTTCTTTTAAGGGTGCCTTAAGCAGAAAGACCAAAAATCGAGG